CATGGTTTTGAAATAATATAAGGAGAAGAAAATAATATTATTTTCTTACATCAAAAAGTTAAAAAGTTTCTTTTTATGTGTTGCCAAACACCCCCATAATAGGGTGTCTCTTAGTCGGTTATACTACCTACCTTAAAACCTTAAAAAAACATTGAAAGTCAATCAATATATTACAGCAGAGCAGTTAGTATTCTTCTTCACCTGGGCAGCTTCTTGATCTCTTGTGCTCTTTCTTCTAAGTTTGTTGATTGATATGGAGATGGAGAAAGAAAGGAGTAGTAAGAAGTTGAAAAAGTTGGCCACCTTCAGCTTCCTTTTGATCTGTTACCTCAAATACTCACCACACTACCTATCTCAAATCTCTTTGTAGATTTAAGGGTGTCCAAATATATCAAATCCTTAATTGAAAATCCTGTTTTTGTCAATAACATTCGACCACAAGATACTAGATTTGATAGGAATAGAAATTTATTCTATCGATGAAAACGGATCATGTTTAAAGCATATGCAGTCTATTGCATTTGATCATATTCCTTGGGATATAAGATTTTGTAATGGCTTGATAATGATTCAGAGTCATATGTTTTGTTTCACCTTGCTTAATCTCACAACACATGACCCTATCTGTTAAGTTTAAATACATTGATTGTGGTTTTGACCCTCTATCGAAGAAATATAAAGTGTTAGGATGGAATCAAGATGAAGATAATGGATAGGTCTCTATTACGAAGAACAACATTCTTCCCACCGAAGGCACATACTTGCTGGAACATTTCTTGGGTGTGCCAAATGATAACAAAGAGACTCAATTCGCAGGATGAAATGGTGAAATTATGATAACGGCATCTGATAGCATTAATATGTACATCGCTTTATACAGCCTTCTAAGTCGCCAATTTAGGAGGATTAAAGTCACTGATAAAAGATTTAAGAAGTTACTTGGAGACCTCATGTAGAGAATTATCTTGATTTTCAAGAATTAGTTTCACATTACCCTGAATGTGACAATGAATGTGACATTCGGCATTGTATTGGTCAGAGACAGAAGACATAGAACGCAGTAAAATCGGCAGATACCTTAGCTAGTACCAGTTTATTTGGATGTACATAGCCGTGCTTAGCTAGCTCCCTTCTTTTCGGCCAAGTGGCTTGTAAATTGCACTTTGTGCTATACATGTTTCAACTTTCGATCAACAACATATATATATTGTATATGAGAATGTGTTCGTAACTTCGTAGCAGTAGAACTCCCCAAAGAAACAACAGTCAATCTCAACAACTCTAGTCAAAAAAATTGAAGTTGATGAGTTATGAAAAGAAGTGGTGATTGGAAGCTACCTGACTATGCATCTCCCCTGAACTGAATGATTTGGTTTATAAGACACAATTACATCTTAAGTAGGTGTTCCATAAGGTCTAAATACCGATTTCGAGGGGATACCATATCAGTAAAACTTAGACTAAACTTTGGTTATAATTAGGGTGTGAGAGATCCTGCAAACACTGCCATCATCATCCATAGAGACATTCTCTGCCTTGTTACTAGGCCACTAAAGTTTGAACGTGCACTTATGAAACGATAGTTTGGGTGGTGTCTGTGTTACATTTTCAGAAGTATAGCAGACTGTTCAAAGGTAGTATCAATGGATTGCGTGTGACTACGTGAATTACTCCACATTAGTTACTGTCGTCTTCCTAATCCCCCCTTTCTCTTTCAATGTTGTCTTCCTAGTGCCACCATCCCCAAACCAATAAACAAGAATTTCAGAGTGTGTTCGTTGATTTTCGCATTATTCCATATACAAAGGTCCATCACTTGGGTAGCTATAGTTAACCACATATGATGGACGCAGAGTTCTTCAATATATAAGTAGTGACAAAAATAAACCACATTGCACAGGACATTTAATCAGTAGATAGGACTAAGACACAATTACTTCAGACAAGAAGTAGGTGTTCACAAGGGCTTAAAACAAACTTAAAGTTCGCTATTTCCCCTGCCTTCAAGTGCACACTTTGGAATCCAACTATCTGCTTTAAAGGGAAGTACTGGATGCTTGCCTGGCAACTGCCCAATATTTTTAACTATCATGGTAGTTGAAAAACTTCAGCTTCTCACACTTTTAATTATGAAAGTGGCAGGTTGATAACAGCCAGCTTCAGACCCCGCATTGTGCGGAATTTGAAAAATACACTTGGGTAGAATCACTAAACGTGAAACGAAAGAACTAGGACTGATAAAAATGCAAAGCAGTGCTTTCATCTACAGCTATGGTTTCAGTCATACAACAATATTTGTGTATAGTGCTTTCATCTACAGCTAGAGCTCCAGATCTATTCAAGGTAAGGTCACATGAACCAGCCAGTCTCATGCCTGACAGAGACGCAATGCATGGTTCCTCGCAAGAGGCGAAGTACCAAATCACAAACTGGTCTATAGGCTAGGTGAAAGAGCGTAACATGTGTTTAGGGTGGTTTCAACATCGACAAAACGTCTCATAGCTCCTGAAATAGGTGAACTTATATGCACTTACACCACAGCAATTTGCCATCTAAGCAATCCATTTCGATCTTGAAAAATGGTACCCTATTTAAGTATTAATGGATCATAGCCAACCTATTCTATATCATTATTTATGGTCAGCCATAACATGTCCTAAAATCTCTACTGCAACAGAAGTACAGACACATAAAACTCAACCGGATATGTAATAAAAATGCGTCTAGGCCCATTGCTGGTGCAAAATTGCACCTGTATGCCCTAGTGTCTCACATTTAAATCCACCTAGGGTCACGTCTAAGGGCAAATAGTGCTGCTTAAGCTCATTCCCCGTGCCTGTCCTCTAAGTACACAGTGACAAAGTGTTATCGTACAATTCTTCTATATAAGCTAGGTGCGCTGCTGAGTATTTGCAGTTATCCAAACAAAGGAAAATAAAACTGCAGAACAGAATCAACAGATATGATAAAAATCCATACATAAATATGAGTATTTGCAGTTATCCAAACACTAACCGAGCACCCCGCAAAACAGTTTGACGTGGTAAAATTTCATCACTAAATACTAACAGTTAAAAACATGATTTGTCTTCTCCATTCTCATAAAATTCAAGGAATAAATCATAAGCTACTCAATATTATAAATATCACAAACTAACTTAAACTTAATCGACGGTCATTGTTAAATTTCAACAGTTGCTTGCCTGTAACTGCAATAAAAGCTCCAACAAGACCAGCATAAGAAACAGCACCCTTTGGACGCGGCCAAGAAAACCCTTTATACAAAACCCCAGTCCCAAATCCAGCTACAACAGTATTGATAGGATCATAAGGGTAAGCCCTCTTTGTGAAATACACAACACCAGCTTCAATACTAGTATACATTATACCAAGAACACCCAATGTACCTCCATACCTCTTTCCTGTCTCAATACCAGTATTAAAAACTCGATTAACCAAGATTTTTCGCGTATCTGGAACAAAAATGTTAGGCTTTTTAACCCCTTGAATTGAACCCTTAGTAAAACCAACAATGGTACCAGTTAGGTATCCAGTACCAGGTAAAAGGAACAGATGTATCAGCCATGACTTTAATTCCTCAGTTTGTTTTTGTTTAGGAGAAGAACATGTAATTTTCTTAAAAGGGTCATGAAGATTTGTTAAGATATAATAGGCTGTGATAAATGAGATTCTAGGTTTAGAAGATTTGGTTATGGTTTGTGTGTTTTCTTGATCAGGGGTTTTATTAGCCATTGATATTGGTCGTTAAAGCTTATTCTAGGTTTCAAGGTTTTGGGTTTCGAGGGTTTTTGAGATTTGGGGATGAGAAACAAGGAAGAAATGAAATTCGATTTAATGAAAATAGAATGATTTGCGGAAACCATCCAAGCTGAAGAAATGTAGGGATAGTTTAGTAATATTCAATATTTAATCATTTCTAGTTTCATTCAACAATTTACTGACGTACGAGAACCATTTGATGGAGCCCAAGCGAAGGGTGGCAATCTGACCTGATGACTTGAAACTCCGCACATCTGGGTTAGGTTTGGGTTAGTATATTTGGGGTTTTAGGTTTGTATCAGGTCGACTTGATTGATCTTATTTTTATCGGGTCAGATTCAGGTCGACTCGAAAAAATCTGAAGAATAATAAAAAA